CCAAATTCTTTTATCATTTATAGGTGTGCATCTCTGCTGCTGAACTGGGTCTTCAGAAACTCAGGCATTTCCTTTGGCTTGTTTTTAATTTTAAAGAGAAAATAATAATTTCAAAACAGGTTAGTAGTAGAGTTGCAATAATTAATACATTGCATAATGTTGTCTTCTTAGTAGTTATTCAGAGTACAAGAATTAGGCATGACATCTTGGCCAAACAATATTAGCACAAACATTTCTTTTCAATGAACTGAGAAATATAGCTACCTTAACTGTCTTGTGCATAAATACATATTTTTCTTTTTCCCTTTTTTCCCTTCCCTGACTTTGATAACCTAAAGCTTACCCTACTCCCTGGCACAATGTACGGCCTCCATAAATACTTTATGAATGAATGATTTAATGCACAATTAACGAATACAAGCCATAGCATTAGAATCACTAATTAAGTAAAAGCCTCCGCTTAGTTCATTATCCCTGACAACAAATACCGTCTACATGTGTCGTGAGTTGTCTTTGATGTGCCTCTGCCGTTACACAGGGCAACGCTAGAGGATTTTATTATTGGCCTCATGCTTCTAGGAGTGCCAGAATGAAGGCAGACTCTGGTATAAGTTGGAAATTTTTGTCTGGAGCTTTTGGTAATAAATCAAAGTGAGATCTAATTCTCAGTGGGTGGCAGCATTGGTGTCAGGTGCATAGCCAGTGATTTGAGTTGAGTAAGCAAGTCTACCTGCAAGCTTTAATGGATTTGAGGTCTAGCAGTTCTTACATTAAAGTAAGTGACAAAGACAGATTGTTAACCAAACTTTCTTCTCATTTTCTCTTTGAATTATTAAGCTAAATACATTCACCATTATAGCTGGTACTATAGTACTTTCTTAAGACCAAACCTTAAATGAATTGAGTTAGTCAAGGCTTGCTGCCTTCATTTCAGTGACAGTGGTAAATATCTGTCTTTTCGAAGCAAGATTTTTCTCTGTGGCACACTTCTCAAGAGGGCTAATTTGTTGGAGATACGTTAGGGTTTCTTGGAACCAGTTACCTTTTAAAATGAGAAAGTCTTGACGAGTTCAGTGAACCTCTAAACAGCAGTGCAAGAACGAGGAGAACTGGCCCTGCCTCTTACTCTGTGCCTGGTTGTCCACACCGGTTCCCAAATCGGAATTGTGTTTTTGCATAGACAAATGGCAAACTCTAATTTGCCTTTGTCTGAAATAAAATTTGGAATAGGTGAGCAAAGGACTGTCTTTTTCCTTTTAAGATGATCACTTTGTCGTTAACCCAGAACTATCTTCAGAGGTCTAGGAAAGAGTATCAATCCTCCATGAGGTCTCTGTGCTTGATTTCACTACCTTCTTTACTGGCATTCATAAATATCTCATTTAGTGCTTAAAACAGCCTATAGAGGTGATTATCATTATCTGTCACACATAGGTGACAAATCTAGCTACAAATGTGGGTTTATAGTCTTCATATTGAATGCCCAAGATTACTATGTTTTATGCTAAAAGATCTTCCTGATTTTTGCACCTTGACATTTTATTTTTTTAAATCTGGGATTAATCGAATACACAAAATTCTACAAGTATCAGTTTGCTCCTGGAGAGTTAAGCTGCTGCTTCAGCCATTTCCTGGTAGCTTCACAAAAAATGGTCCTTAACTTGTGGTGCCTTCTGCTTATTATAGAAAAAGATCAAAGTCCAGGGATATAGCTCAGTGGCGCAGTGCCTCCCTTGCAAGCATGAGGATCTGAATTCAATTCCTAGTACAAAAAGAAAATATTTTTCTTGTATCTGAAGATTTCAAGATAGAATCTCTGAGAAAATGAATCACAAATTTAAGTGCAAATTAAAAAGATAACAAAAGAAAAGCAAAATAGAGGTGGAATGATGAATGAGGAGAGCCAAAGTCAATGGGTAAAATCCCCATGGATTCTAATACAGAAATAATTAGGCTCAGAGAAACAAGATAAATGTAAAAATAATATAATAATTCTAGGTATGTGTAATTTTCATCTATACAAAACAGGAAAAAGAATTCTATCATTGTAAAACCTTTGGAGATGCCAGAGAATATTCTAAATTCATATAATCTAAAAGTATTTTTTAAATTACCTTTTATGTATTTAACTCAAGTTCTAAAAATAAGAAGCTGTCTTTGATGAACTGACTTTAAAAGAAAGTTACAAAAAGCTGGATCCAGGCACAGTGCTGCACGCCTGTAATCCCAGAACTTTGGAAACCTGAAGTAAGAGGTTCCCAAGCTTCAGCCAAGCCCAGACAACTTAGCAATTTAACAAGATGCTGTGTCCGAATAAAAATTGAAAAGAGATGTGAATTAAGCTCTGTGTGAAGGCCATGGGTTCAATCCCCACTATTGCAAAAAGAAGATAGAGGAGGGAAAGGGGGGATAACAGGATGGTAGCTGTCATAGCCAACCTGACCGACTGATGTTAAAACTTAGTATTTCACCACACACCCAAAACAAATGCCAGCAAAACAGTAGGACAAGTTTAACAAATTCTCAGAAGACACGGGTGGATTGAGAAAGCTTAGCTTGATTCTTTTAGTTCAACTGAATGCACACAAATTGACTGAAGTCTCCCTTTATATACACATTAAAATTAGAGATATAATTCTAGATATGAAAATAATCAACAATTAGTAATGTAGGATATTAAATTTTCCCTGGGGGAAACAAAAGAGAAATTAGAAAATGCTATAGCTATAGGCATAGTATGGTAGATGTTTATTAAATAAACCTTGAACATCTAATAAAGGGGAAAATACCTACTTTTCAGCAGTTTTGTTAATTACATATTCTGTTAAATTCTTCGGATATATTCAATTGTTCCCCTGAATAAAACCTCTAGCTTCTCTTCTAAATACTCAAACATAATGGTTGAAAGATGTCACATTCTCCATAATGAATTTAGTCATGAAACCCTGAACTCTTCTATTCAAATCAGATTCTTAAACATTTGAAAACACAGAAATGCAAGAGGCATTTTATCTCAAGGCCTCAGGAATTTACTGTCCTTGCTTGTGCTGACCTGTATTTTGATTGTGTATATTCTGAGCTCTTCAGGCTACATCTTTGTTCCAAATTAGGTTCTTTTTTATTCTTCTCCAAATAAAGGATCTGTGGATTGCATATTTCCTTTGCTAGGCAGAATCTAAGTATGACTTTAGCAAACATAATACCATTCATTTTGAAGTATTGTGTTAATTTAATTAACTTTTTTTGGATAATCAACACCATTGATTTATCTAATATACTGAATAACAGAATGTTGGCTTTTAATGAGTAGGCTGGAGGATGTGAGAAGTTTAACTTCTCTGAGACTCATTTCAGAATTAGTCCTAGCAAACTGAATCTGCTGTTTGATTCTCAGAGATTGCACTGGGTAGTTTGTTACCAAGAAACAGCGAAGGAGACACTACCATTTATATTTTCTCTTCTAGTGACTTCTGCTATCACTGGGAGCAGTCACCACCCCTTCCAACTAACACAGTCATCCCAAGAGCTGGCATCCTTGTCTAAACTTTGAAAAGAATCACAAATTCTATGTAGACTGATTTCAGTGGGTTTTATTTTTAGCTTTGTTTTATTTTCTAAATAGAAAGCCTGCACAATACAGAACAATTTTATAGATTTTAATACAAATGCATAATTTGAAAAAAGTACTAATATTTTACAAGGTATGGGTTATGAAGAGAGATGAGTCTCTTTGTCCCATTTAAATTCACCGTTAAATAACATATAAACATGAGTTCTCATTTATAGAATCAGTTTATGAAAAATAGTCTATGTGAGCATAAGTCATGTAATTGGTTAGTAGGTTTTCATAGACAATTACAGCAGTTATAGTAGAGGTTAAGGTTATGCTAGTTATCCAAATAACTCTGCAAGAAATAGTTTGTAGTGAAACATAGAATTCAGTTTATCATGTTTTGTTCCCATGAAGACAAATGGCTACAGTGAGACTAGTGACAGAAAAACTATAATGAACAGTTATGCTATAAAATATTTATGTTTGATATGTAAAAAGATAGTAGTCTACCATTGTCCTGGTCAGACACAGTTATGAACAGAAAAGCTAGTGATCTTTAACCAACAGTTCAAAAAACAGCATCAATGAAACATAATACTATTGAGAATGTTTCAATGTCCAAATTGTTAGTCACTTATCAAAAAGTAAGTGGGACTTAGGAAAAATTGCTGCAGGGAAATTTCCATTTAATGGATCATCATGTATGACTACAAATACAAGTCATTTCAATGGAATTTTATTGTTGGAGAACTAGGTATGGAATCCTCATCCAGCATGTACTGTGCCAGTCAAGTGATAAATGAATCAAAAGGATAAAATGGAGAATATAATGAAGCCTACACTTTTGATTTCCTTACTCATAAAAGTAGCCCTGGGAGTGCATGTAACTGAGCGTTAGAATACAGACTTAGCATATGTAAGACCCTGGGATTCCATTCCAACAATGAAAACGAAAAGCACTGTTTGGTGTCTCCTATATGAAAGTAACAAGACTGAGGTAGTGTTATCTGGGCAAGTGGCTTTTTTAATTGCAGTCATAGATTTCTATTTATAAAAGCCACACTCACCACCGTACACATAGTCCTCTCTTAGACTTTGTGGCATGCGTTTCCATAAAGCTGGCTGAGGTTGAGATGTAGGTGGTGGCCATGGAATGCATCCACAGAAATGAGTTATTCTTTAAGAGGTTCCACCCTGTGGCATTGCTAGCTTTAGTAACATTGGCTACTAAAAACCTGAGCTATCATCCCATTGGCTCAGAAAATCTTACAGAACCCTCCATTGATAAGGACTCCTGTTGCATGCTTGAACATGCTGTGGTGTTACTGATTTTTTGTATGGAAAGGAATCATATAGGCATATGACCAAAAATTTCATACAAAATCTGTTACAGAACAGATAAACTATAAATAGAAAATACTCATTTTTTATCTGTCTCAATCTTCAGGCCCTGTGGATGTCAATATTCTTGCAAAATGCAATCCCTGCTTATCGAATCCATGTAAAAATGATGGTACCTGTAACAACGATCCAGTTGACTTTTATAGATGTACCTGTCCATATGGTTTCAAGGTAAGTGCAGGCTGTTGTAGGAGCCACACTCTGGAAATAGTGCTTTCCACGGGATGCCTTCACGATCCAGCTGTGCTTTTTCTAGAGCTAAGACTACACTGTTTGCATTCAGCTTTGCTTGGTCATTCTTTCCCCAGGGGCAAGACTGCGATATCCCAATCCACGCATGCATCAGTAACCCATGTAAACATGGAGGAACTTGCCACTTAAAAGAAGGAGAAAGGGATGGATTCTGGTAAGTAATTTCCTGTCCCTGTGTGTGAGGTGTCACAGCAAGAACAACCAAACAAACCTACAGTTTCCTTTTTAAGTGCTACAAAATTATTTTAAAAGGCGTATCAAAATAAGGTCAAAATGTCCTGATACTGCTCAGAGATCATAATTTTAAAACAAATGGAGATACTTCAGGATTCCCAGCTGAGGACATTCCAGTCAGAAATTTAAAAGCAGGTGCATAAAACATTATGACTAATCAAGTCAGATGAGGGCAAGACAGGGTGTTGGTTTAATAATGTTAATTAATAGCCAGATAGTACCCTACTGAAAGTCCCTGTATGCACACAGATGTGCTTATTGTTTTAAAGAAATGTTGTAATGACAATATGTGGGTCTGATAAAACATTAATGTTTCATTCTCAGCCCATAACATAAGTAGACAAACATACTGCAAACATTTCTAATCTGAAATTATATAATCAGATGGTGCAATGACTTCAGTTGTACTTAAAAGAATTATGAAAGAATTTGTTTTGACACTAATAATTTTCCATAAGAATGTTAATCTACAACTATAGCTTATTTAAAAATCACAATTTAGAAGACATATATTTCACTTCTGTTACAAAATTATCTTTTGTTCATCTAGACTTTCCTCAAAGATTATTGATACTTGCTCAAGATTAAATATACAGTGACTTATGGTAGGGTAGAAGTTGTCTTTATGGAGACTTACAGAAAAGATTCACATTGTCCATTGTAAGAAAGACAATTTAGCTTTAATATTGCTTTCCGTTAAAATACATCAGGGACATTACACAGAGTAGTAGCTGATAGTACTCTTAAAATTGGAGCCAGTTCCTTCTCAGCAAAAGCATAAATTATTTCATTAGAGCCCAATTTGAGTTTAGGATATAAAAGGATGTGGACGAAACCTTTGCTGTGTTTTAGATCTGCAAAAATATTGGGTTTATTGACTTTTAAGACTATAGAGCCATTGGCTATCTTCCAGCTGTATAAATTTTATTTTTTAATGTTTTCTGGTCTGTTGGATATTATCTTAAATAGAACTTACAGCATGTCGTTCAAAGCATTTTAAAAATCAATTTCTTGTAGTTAAAGGCTCAGTAATTGATGAGCGCTTGCATGATTTTTTTTCAGTATTTTAACAACATGGCTTTAAAATACAGAAAAAAATACAGGGTTTTCTTGCCTTTCTTCTTCTTGTTTTCAGGTGTATTTGTGCCGATGGATTTGAAGGAGAAAATTGTGAGGTCAATGTTGATGATTGTGAAGATAATGACTGTGAAAATAACTCAACATGTGTTGATGGAATTAATAACTACACGTGCCTTTGCCCACCTGAGTACACAGGTATGAAGAATAGAAAACATTAAGCCATCCATCAGTGTGTTTGTTTGAATGCATTACTGATGCTATTATTTCTATTTACTCTGTCACTTGTACTATTCAGTAACTGGTAGGTGTTTTGAAAATTACATGTAAGCATAAATAATAGAAGCACTTAAAGATGACTTCAGCTGACCAAATTTTTTTTAAAAAGCCAGTTAGCTTAGATCAATACATGCATCTGTCATAAAATCATGTTAACCAGGAAAAAAAACTGTCAAAATGAGGATTTTATCCCTTGTTTGAGTGACATTTTCATGCACACAGTTTTTCTCTTTGCTCATCAACACACGCTTTAAAGGGGAATTTCTTTATATAGCCAAAACATAATTGAGCATTTCAGATAACTTATATCCATACTTATTTCGTCACTAATAATTGTTTGTTCATTTCTAATAATCCATGTCCATCAAAATGAAACAATGGAGAAGACATAGAACATTTGGGATAGTTTTATGAGATCACAGTTGTTTTGACATCTGTCTCTTTGGGTAATAAATCTCATAAGACTATGCAAATTGCTGAACTTTGTTCCAATTCAAACAAATTTGTTAAAAAGTTACATCAACCTTACCATTTGTCTATTTTGACAGTATATTTGTTTGATTATTAATGTGGCTATGAATAAGAAACAATTATTTTTGTTTCTCAACATATTTTCTTATTTGATAGAGAAAAAGAATAATACACAGTTTATTTGTCAGAAAAAAAAGAGAAACAAATTCTGTCACTCTTCAAAATTATTATTTTCCTTTTGCTGGGTGTTTCTGTTCTATTTATTTCCATATTTTCAACACACAGTTAAGAATATCAGAGTAAAATACCTATTGGATACAGGTAGCAACGCTTAACATTTGTAAACATGATCAACACACACATCTTGTGAATAAATTTCCCAGGGGTTTCTTAGAAAAGCATGGAAATGTAAGATTTTTGGAATGCCCAAAGTTTGTATTTTATTGATGGCAAAATATTTTTCATGATGAGAAAATTCTAGATAAAATAACAATAATAACAACCCAGATCTGAGTGTTTTTGTAGATGCCTTTTCCATGATACAAAATTTTAACATCAATAAGGCACGTGATGCTGCATACACTTCTTTCACACGAGGTTTCCAGAAGAAGGTAGGGTGGGCTAGATCACCAGTTAGTGTATCATATATGTGCAGTTTTATCGTGCTTAGTGGGCATTTTTTGATAATTTTCATTAACAAAACAGAGCAATTGTATCTAACAGGAACCTATGCTTCTAGATAGCACTGGTATCATTTTTATAAGATTTCTAGTATGGGCTAATGACCTATTGACACAGGTTTTGGAGCCCCCAAAGCTACTCTTAAGTTTTTGAGAGCACAAAGATACTACCTTATGGATGGGCTACTTTGGATGTGTACAAGAAGTCTTATGTTTGCACTAAAATCTGTTGCATAGTATCTTCTTACGGTAGAGTGGTTCACTTTTTCCATCGTTGTTCTGATCATTAGAGAAAAGCTTAAGAACCTACTTTATCTGGAGGCCTCTGCAAACCAACCTGCCCTGACTCTGCCAAACAAATTTGACTCACGTATTCAAAGCAGATTTTCATTCTCTGTGCCTTTCTGAGTACAGAAACCAGAGAATTATTTATACATCTCCTTCCTTATGAAACCTGGGTTTAGAAACACAGCTGTGTTCAGGTTCTCATTTGTCTTTTTGGTGGCAATTTACAGTGGTGGTAGATACTTGTAGTTGGTTTGGAGAGGCCCCATGCTTTGGCTTTAGATTTGCTATTCCTTGTTCTTAACTCTCTTTCTCTCTTTTTTCTTTTTTTCTTTTTTGAGTGTTTGTCTGACTTGCTCTTCCTTCATTTCCCAAGCTCCTGACCTATACCTGTTCAACTTAAACATATTTCCTCTTATCCTAAGTGACTCAATTCAGTACACATAAGTTTGCCCAGAGAAGTATGATGAAGCTTCACTCCCCTTCTTCTAGGTCAGAAGTAGCATAACAACCCAAAATCTAGCAAAATCATTTCTTAGCTAAAATGTGACATTTTAAAACTCATCATGCAAAACCTATCATGAATATCTGTCAAGAGCCATTTGGCTCTGGACAAAAACGTAGACTCTTTTAGTCTTTTTATTTACAGCTATTACAAATACTGAAGAAAAATACTGAACTCAAGAGAAAGCGCATGGCACTCAGTATGTGAAGATATTACCAATATAACCCTGACTGGAATTTAGGAGCCATGAAGAATTTGATATGTTGGTGGTAAAGATGATATCTAAAAGAGGCAGATTTCATAGCTCATCTTTTAGCTGTGATGCTTTTGTAAATGTGAAATGAGCATATTTGCAAAATATCAAACAGCCACGAGTGTATTTTGAAACCTGAGACACATGAGTGGCCTCTATTCAGAGAAAGGGATAAATCATTCTCTAGAGTTTCAATCCTGTTTCATCCAAGTCTGCAGCTGAGGATGAATTTTCCTATAATTTGACTCTATCACTTTAAATTTAAGTTTGGAGTCTAATTAATGACTTTATAATCTGGGAAAAGAAACCCTGCCATGCTCAGGAAATATAAGAATATTGTCATTGTTTAAAACTCATTCAATTTACAAATGATTTTTTTTCTGGCAGATTTTTAACTCTGTATCCTAAAGGCAAACAATAAGAAAGTTAAGTCTGGTTAGTAGGAATAACTAAAACCTTATAGAAAAAACTCACAAATTATTATGGTGAGAACATTTGCATTTGGCACCTACGCTAGAATCAAAATGTACAGAATGTTGTCAATGAAGAAAATTCACAGACTTGATAGAAGTCTGACAGAGGACCCATGACATGATGACCAGACTGTAAAACTGGGCTAAAACTATCCAAAACAAAGTGAACCACCAGTGGGAAATGTATCCAGTTTATTTAAAATCGAGCAACCAAAGCATCCCAGTAAGTTGATAATGACTCATTGGAGAAACAAAACTCTGACCTCGTGTTTGCTAAAGAGACTGACAGCATAGGTTGTAGAGACTAATATTATTCCTGTTTCCAGAATTTCACTATCCCTCACTGCTCAGGTCATCAAGGCTGTTCTGTCTACTGCAGCCCATCAACTGGCCCTTTAGTTGTACAGTGCACACTTCTTTATTGCTAGTATGCTTCAGTCAAGTTTAATTTTGAAAGTAGAATTCCATGTGAATCTAAATTAAAATCAGTATGCCAAGGAGTAGAAAAATAAGACTTTGAAATCTAAATAATTTAAAGATTAATTCTATAATTTTAGCATTCATATGAGAGGTTCTGAGGCTAGATTTTTTTATTAAATCATTCTTACAGCTTTTTTAAGAACAAAACACTTCTTGTCAATAAATTTTAAAGGAATATTTTTCCTTTATTTAAACAAGCTCCAAAGGAAAATTGGAAACATAGCACCTCGGCAGCATTGGAAATGACATGTTTGCTTAGGCTGCTACAGTAGGTGTTGAATTGAAAATCTTACTTTGCCATATTTCTCAATGATCAAAACCCCAAATCTGCTATTTTCAGACTTTGCATCTTAGGTAACCACATAGGACCCATCCAAATAGGACACAAAATTGATCACAGTTAAGCCTTGCTTTTGCCTAAGGAGACTGTAGAAAGTCAGTGACATGAAAGTTATGATGCAAATTTCACATGTATAGTCTTAGGATCGATTTCACAGAGATTGAGAACGCTTTACCCTTTCCGTTCGATACCATAATCTATTTATTTTGGTTTTACAAACCTGACTCGCACACACAAAGCATTCATGGTACACCTCACACAGTAACACCCTAGTTACTACATCACCTGGTTCAGAGGCAGAGCCACCGCGCTGCCTGGCGATGCCTTTGACCTCTGGCTTCATGTTTCCTCCATGTCTGTGCCTTGGCTCGTGTAGGTAAGAAGTTTAAGCCTTACTGCAGTTTGCACTCTCCCCCTGGCTTCTCTGTTAATGCTGCGCGTTGGCTTCATGTGCTCTACTGTTGTACCGCAATGTAAAAAGTCTTTTGTCTCTTCTGTCTTTGTCGCTGCCAGCTGCTAATCTGAATGAGGTGGAAAAAGGTTAGTTGCCTTTTAAGTCTATTATGATTTTCCTTTTGGTTTCCTCTCTCTTTTGAAGCAGCACAGGTTTCACTGTGCGTGCATGATAAGGAACATTAATAAAATATGGAGTTGGAAAGCAGTATGTCAAATCAGTAATTAAATCCTTGGTGAATGTAAAATCATGTCAAATACTATAAAATGGTCCCCTTAAGTACTTGTATCAGTTTGTAAGAGGCTATTATAGAAAGTCATGAATGTGAAGGGAAGTAGCTAGGAAAGAAACTAATATTTTCTATTTCGTACTCATCTGTATGATTTTACTTTTTGAAAGATGTCATGACTGTGTATTTTCTTAATGAAAGTCATAGGTCATTTAGTACAGTAGATAAATTGTAAATAGAAGAGCTTTAAAGTCATAAGAATTCTCCCATAACCTTAAATTTTTTTCCTTAGTAACATTAAATAAGAGAATATTTTAAGATATGTACATTTATCAAAACATTTTACAAAAATATCACAAAACTTTAAAAGTTGATTTAAAAACTTGGCTAATTCTTATAGAATTGCATGGATGTAAGTCAGTCTTTTGAAAGCATCCAAGGGGCGTGTTGAATCACTGACATCTGTATGACCTCCATGTACATATACGTCAGCACACAACTATTAGAGTAAGAGACACATGGGGGAATCAGCATGCAATTTTCATGAACTTTTAGCAACTGAGAATTTTAACTAATGGCATTACATGCTTGTTGTAGTTTTGAGACAGAGTCTCATCAGGTACCTTAAGCTGGACTTAGACTAAGATGTAGGTCATGCTGCCCTCAGACTCACGGTGATTTTCTTGCCTCAGGCTCTAGAATGCTGGTGTTACAGGCATGTACCACCACACCAAGCAGCATTAGATTTT